CCATATTACCCCTCTCCCCCATAGCCCCCCCTGTGCCACCAAAGCCCCCCAGCCCCACCCTCTCACCCGCGTCACGTGACCACCGCCGCGCGGGGGCTGTCGGGAGCTGTAGTCCCGTCCTGCCGCTGTCTGAGGCCACGCCCCTCAATGCCACGCCCCTCAATGCCACGCCCATGTCCCGTCACGCCCCTCGCCACGCCCCCACGCTTCCATCGGTTACTCAGGGATCGCTCCGTGCCTCGCTCGTTCGCGGATTCGGCGCTCGGCCGCGCCGCCTGCGCAGCGCCGTCATGGCGGCCCCCGGGGTGGAGGCGCGGGCGCTGTTCGCGGAGGGGGTGCGGGCCGTGCTGGGGGGCTGGGCGGCGCTGCAGGTGAGGGGGACACCGGGGACACCTGGGGACACCTTGGAGGGGCACTGGGGACAGCTGCGAGCTGTGCTGGTGGGATGGGCAGCGCTGCAGATGAGGCGGGGGCAGCGTGAGGGAGATCCGGAGGACACTTGGGGGCACCCCGGGACCAGCGCCGGGTGTCCCCATGTCCCCTCCGGGCTGTCCCCGCAGCTGGCCGTGGCGCAGGGCTTCGGGGGGCCGCAGGGTTCCGAAAAGGCCGCGTGGCTCAGCTCGGCGCTGCTCGACTTCTTCACGCAGAACGGTGCGTGCTGCCCCTCCCCCACCCCGGGGGGAGGGAGGGTCCGGGGGGGGGGGGGGGGCAGGGGGGACCCCCCCCGATCCCCCTCCCCGGGGGGGGGAGGGGCAGAGGTGACACCCCCCGATCCCCCTCCCCAGCTGACCTGGAGCAGGAGGAGGTGGAGGATTTCCTGGCCGAGGTGATGGACAACGAGTTCGACACGGTGGTGGAGGACGGCAGCCTGCAGCAGGTAGGAGGAGAGCAGCGAGGAGGAGGAGGAGGTGAGGGGGTGATGTCATTGGGATGATGTCAGGGGGAGCTGATGATGTCATTGCTTGGGAGCCAATCAGGTTGGGAGGGTGCTGGTGATGTCATCAAAGGGGGTGGTGATGTGGTGATGACATCATGGGGTGTAACCCTGAGGGGATACTGATGATGTCATTAAATTGGGGGGTGGTGACTCCCCAGGACCACCAAATGAGGTGGGGCTCGAGGGTGATGATGTCATTCCTGATGATGTCATCCAGTCCTGATGATGTCATCAAGTGGGGGGAAACAGGGATGGGGGTGGGGCAGTGATGGTGTCACCAAATTTATGGAGAGGGACCCAAGGATCCCTCTGATGGAAGGGGAGGGGCACTGATGATGTCACCAAGGCTGCGTGTGACACTGCTGACATCACCGGGGTGTCATCCTGATGACGTCATTGTCCCCCCCCCAGGCCATGGAGTGCGGGACACCCCCGCCCCCCTCGGACGGCTGGACCGTGGTGCAGCGGCGGCGGCGGCGATGATGGGGGGAGGGGTGTCCTGTGTGTCCCCCCCCAGCTTGGGGGACACCCCTCCCCCACCCTGCTCCCCAAACTGGGGGGGAATAAAGGCCCCTCCCCCCATGGGGGTGTGGGAAGAGGAGTCGTGTGATTATTGGAGGGGGGAGAGGCCGCTTAGAGAGCCCCTGGCACCTCTGCGGGCCCCATGGGACCCCAGCGATCCCTCCCAGTATAACCCAGTGCCCCCGCCCCTCGCCCAGCCCCGCCCATCATGGCGGCCGCTCTGAGGGCTCCAGGACAGTGAGGGGCGTGGCTTTCTTACCGCGCCTTGCGATTGGCTGCATTTTGCACCGGTGGGAACGCCCTTTGCCCTTCCCATGCGGTGATTGGTCGGCTAGGCTTAAACCGTGCGGGTGCCGGCGCTGATTGGTCGTCGCCGCTAGGTGGGCGGAGCGAAGCGGGAGAGCGGGAAGACGCGGCGGCGATGGCGGCGCGGCTGGAGCGCGCGAGGGGGTGAGCGCGCGACCCCCCCCCCGCGCCCCCCCCCCCCCCCGACGGCGGGAACCCCTGAGGGCTGCCCGGCCGCCATCTTGAATCGGGGGCGTCGGGGGCGGTCCCCAAGGCCCTGCGGGGCCCTCGGGGGGTTCACCGGGTGCCATTGGGGTCCCTGGGGTCACCTCCTCATCCCCATTGGGGTCCCTGAGGGGTGACCCGGTCCTTACGGGCTCCTTGAGGTGACGCCCAGCCCTGCAGTGTCTCCGTGCCCTCACGTATCCTGAGGGCTCTGGGGAATGAGGGGTTCGCCGTGGGGTCTCCTCATCCCCACGGGGGTCCCCGGCACCCCACGCGTGTCCGAGGAGGGGTCCTGGTTGTCTCCATGTCCCCATTCGTGTCACTGCGGGGTATCGGGGGGATCTCCTCGTTTCTGGAGGGGGTCTGGGGGGTGTCCCCCCCATCCCCACCCGTGTCCCCATGCATGTCCCCAGGGCGCTGGCAGCGCTCGAGGCTGCTCTGGCCTTGGAGGAGGAGGAGGGTGATGTCCCCACCCGGGTCCTGATGGAACATCAGATGGTGAGACCCCAAAACTGCCCCACAGAACCTCAGAATAGACCTGCAGCACCCACGTCTGACCCACAGCTGTTCTTGACCTCCCCATTTGCCCCCTAACACCCCCACATCTGCTCTAAAATTATTTCTGACCCCCCAAGTTTCTCACAGCTGCCCTATCTGGTCTTTATTCTTTTAGTGACTCCCATATTTATCCTCTAAACCTTATCAACTTTCCTATTTTCTGTCATCTTCTCTGACCCCTTGCTTTCCTCAAACAATTCTCCTTTGTCCCTCCAGTTCTCCCTTCCACACCCCACTTTTCCCCATACCTCTAATACCTGCTCTGTGCCCTCCCCCCTTGGCACCCCAAATCTCCCGTGACACCCCAAACCTGCCCCCCCAGGACACCCGGCGGAAGCAGAAGCTGCTCCTGTCCCAGCTCCGGGTGCTGAAGCTGCTCCTGGGGGTCATCGAGAACCCGGGGCTGCTCCCGTCTGCCACCAACCTGCGTGAGCCCCCAAAACTGAACCCCAAAATCCCCTGAGCCCCCAAACTGAACCCAGAGCTGCCCTCAGCCTGCGTGAGCCCCCAAAACTCCTGGGTTTGCCCTGAACCCCAAAACCCCTTGACCTTCCTTGTCCACATTGGGTGTTGCTGGGTCTCCTTTGGGGCAGGAGTTCGGGGGTTCTGGGGTCCACTTTGGGCCAGGGGTTTGGGGGTTCCTGGGTCTCCTTTGGGGCAGGGATTTGGGGGGTCCTGGGTCTCCTTTGGGGGTTCCTAGGTCCGCCTCAGGAGGGAGCTGAGGGAATATTTGGGGATTTCCATACATCTGAGTCCTCTTTGGGGGTTCCTGGGTCTGGTTTGGGAGTTCATTGGACCCCTTTGGGAGGGATTGGTGATTCCCAGGTCCCTTTTGGGGTCCCTCCCTTTTTGGGGGGCTGATGTGGGGCTCCCCCCAGGCGAGGCAGCGGCGCAGGCTCGGAGGCGCTGGCGGGAGCTGAAGGCGAGGTATGGGGAGGCTCTGGGGGCCCTGGAGGAGGCTGTGCCCCCCACCCTGGCCCAGCTACACCGGGGCCAGCAGCTGCTGCACCGTGGGAGGACAACCCTGGGGGCACGGCTGAATCAGGTACAGGGGTCCCGGGGGGCTGGGAGCACAATGTGGGTCTGGGGGGTTGGGGCACAGTGTGGGTCTGGGGGCTCCTCGGCAGGTTGGGGCACAGTGTGGGTCTGGGGGTTGGCACAGTGTGGGTCTGGGGGCTCCCATGGGGGCTGTCCTTCTTCCCCCTCCAGGTTGGGGCACAGTGTGGGTCTGGGGGCTCCTTGGCAGGTTGGGGCACAGTGTGGGTCTGGGGGCTCCTTGGCAGGTTGGGGCACAGTGTGGGTCTGGGGGCTCCTTGGCAGGTTGGGGCACAGTGTGGGTCTGGGGGCTCCTTGGCAGGTTGGGGCACAGTGTGGGTCTGGGGGCTCCTTGGCAGGTTGGGGCACAGTGTGGGTCTGGGGGCTCCTTGGCAGGTTGGGGCACAGTGTGGGTCTGGGGGCTCCTTGGCAGGTTGGGGCACAGTGTGGGTCTGGGGGCTCCTTGGCAGGTTGGGGCACAGTGTGGGTCTGGGGGCTCCTTGGCAGGTTGGGGCACAGTGTGGGTCTGGGGGCTCCTTGGCAGGTTGGGGCACAGTGTGGGTCTGGGGGCTCCTTGGCAGGTTGGGGCACAGTGTGGGTCTGGGGGCTCCTTGGCAGGTTGGGGCACAGTGTGGGTCTGGGGGCTCCTTGGCAGGTTGGGGCACAGTGTGGGTCTGGGGGCTCCTTGGCAGGTTGGGGCACAGTGTGGGTCTGGGGGCTCCTTGGCAGGTTGGGGCACAGTGTGGGTCTGGGGGCTCCTTGGCAGGTTGGGGCACAGTGTGGGTCTGGGGGCTCCTTGGCAGGTTGGGGCACAGTGTGGGTCTGGGGGCTCCTTGGCAGGTTGGGGCACAGTGTGGGTCTGGGGGCTCCTTGGCAGGTTGGGGCACAGTGTGGGTCTGGGGGCTCCTTGGCAGGTTGGGGCACAGTGTGGGTCTGGGGGCTCCTTGGCAGGTTGGGGCACAGTGTGGGTCTGGGGGCTCCTTGGCAGGTTGGGGCACAGTGTGGGTCTGGGGGCTCCTTGGCAGGTTGGGGCACAGTGTGGGTCTGGGGGCTCCTTGGCAGGTTGGGGCACAGTGTGGGTCTGGGGGCTCCTTGGCAGGTTGGGGCACAGTGTGGGTCTGGGGGCTCCTTGGCAGGTTGGGGCACAGTGTGGGTCTGGGGGCTCCTTGGCAGGTTGGGGCACAGTGTGGGTCTGGGGGCTCCTTGGCAGGTTGGGGCACAGTGTGGGTCTGGGGGCTCCTTGGCAGGTTGGGGCACAGTGTGGGTCTGGGGGTTGGCACAGTGTGGGTCTGGGGGCTCCCATGGGTGCTGTCCTTCTCTCCTTCCCCCTCCAGCAAGAAGAGCTGAAGGTGAAGGTGCATGAGGCCACAGAGAGACGGGACCAGGTGAGATTGGGGGGACACCCTTTGGGGTCCCCCTGCCCTGTGGGGGCTCCTGGTGAGTCCCACTTAACTTGGGGTGCCCCTGCCTATGGGGGGGTTCATTCTGGGGTTCCTTCCCACTTCGGGTCTTAGCTGCTTCTCCTCCTTTTGGGGTCGACCCCCAATTTGGGATCTCTTTCCTCTGCAGTCTGGGGTCTTTTTCTCCCCAAATTTGGGGTATTTTCCCCTTCAAATTGGAGTTTGTCTCCTCCAATTTGGGGTCTCTTTCCCCCTGAATTCGGGGTCTTGTTCTCTCCCAGTTTGAAGTATTTTTTCCACAAAATTTGGGGTCTCTTTTCCACCTGGGGGGTCATGGGGGGACCACAGGTGAGGAGGGTGAGGTGTGGAGTTGTGAGCCCCTGGGATTTTGGGGGTGTTCCAGGGGTCCTGAGAGGGACCCAGGAGTTTGGAGGGACCTCAGAGTAGGGGGAGAGACCTGGAGGGGACCCAGTGGGGGTCCAGGTGGAGCTCCTGGGATAGTGGGAGGAACCCAGGAATTTTGGGGGGGTGGTCGTGTCCCCCCCCCACCCACGGACTGTCATTTCCTGCAGGGTGGGGGCCTCGTGCCACCTGTACCAGGCTCTGGCAGGGGTCCAGGTGCTGCCCCCCTCCCCAGGGACCCCCGAGTTGGAGCTGGAGCTGGGACCCCCTCCCAGCTCCTCGCATTCCCTGCCCCCCCTTCACCTGTGCCTCACCCCCAGCGGGGGGGTCCGACTGCAGGTGAGTGGCTTAGGTGGGATTTTGGGGGGCTGGGGAGGATTTGGGGGAATTGGGGGCTGGCTGAGGGGGCACTGGGCGCGGGGGGGTCCGACTGCAGGTGAGTGGCTTAGGTGGGATTTTGGGGGGCTGGGGAGGATTTGGGGGAATTGGGGGCTGGCTGAGGGGGCACTGGGCGGGCTTGGGGGGGGATTTATGGGAGCACCTGGAGACCTGGGGCGGGGGCAATTTTTAGGGGCCAGGAAGGCTGTGGGGGTGCACTTGGTGTTCAGGGACTGATGTGGGGGGGTTCTGGGTGGTTTTGGGGTCTCACCACCTCCCCTTTTTCCCCCCAGGAACCCCCCCTGGGGCTGTCCCCTCCCCTGGGCCCGGGACTGCTGGAGCTGCAGCAGCGCTGCTGGGACAGCTGGAGCCTCTGGGCAGAGGTGACACACCTGAGAACTGTGGGAGGGGTTGGGGGGGTCTTTGTATAAGGTCAGGGGGTCTTTGGGGCACTTCTGGGGGGCTTTGGGTTAATTGCCAGGGTGGGGGGTTGATTGGAGGGGCTGGGGGTTAATTGGGGGGCTCACCCCAAGCCCCTGGTGACCCCCCCCAGGTTCGCCCTGGACTGGCAGCCGGAGTTGGGGCTCCTGCAGGTCCTGGGGGGCCCCCGGGGTGCCCAGACCCTCTGGACGCTGCAGCTGGAGCCAGGGTACCCCCAGAGCGGGGGGGTGCGACTGCTGCCCCCACCAAAGGGGGCCCCCCCCATCCCTGTGAGTCCTTTGGGGGTGTCCTGGGGGAGTTTGGGGGTCCCTTGGAGGGGATTAGGGGGGTTTGTAGGGCAGGTTTAGGAATGATGGGGCAATTTAAGGGTCCCTGGGTGTGGGTTGGGGGTCTGGGAGCAGAACCTTGGGGGGGTCTGAGGGCAATTCTGGGGTTCTCAGGGGCACTGGGGGGTGCCTGGAGGTGGTTTGGGGGTCCTGGGGGATCACTTGAGGGTCACTGAGGACAATTTTGGGGGTCCCAGATACAGGGGGAGATCCTGGGGTGCTTTGGGGGCCCTTGGGGGTCACTGAAGGCAATTTGGGGGCATCCCAGAGGCCCTTGGGCATGCTAGTGATGGTTTTAGGGTTCTTTGTGGGTTTGGGGGTCTCTCAAGTGGGCACAGGGGGGTCCTGGGAGTGACCCCCCCCCAAACCCCCTTTTCCTCCGCAGGCACCCCCAAACCCTCCAACTCTGACACGGTGGCTGGAGCTGCTGGTGGGGGGGGTCCCTGAAAACGGGGGATCCCCCTCTATCCCCCCCCCATAAAAAACCCCACTGCACCCCAATAAACTCACGGCCACCTCTTCTCCAGCTCCGTATCACCCCAAAAAAAAATCTCATTTCTGGGGGTTTGCAGGAGCAGCTTTATTGTGGGGAGGGGGCTCTGGGGGTTGGGGGTTTTGGGGTGCTGGGGGTCCCCCAATCCGGGGGTCCCTACGGGGGGGGGTCGGCACCGCGCCGCTTGGGCTGGTTGCGCTCGGGGTGCAGCAGGATCACGTAGACCTTGGGGGCGTAGAGGAGCCCCAGCGGCACCGAGGCCGACAGCGACATGGACACCGTCAGCGTGGCCGTCTGCACGTGCACCTGCACCCCAACCCAACTGTCCCAGTAACCCATGGACACCGTCAGCGTGGCCGTCTGCATGTGCACCTGCACCCCAAAAACGATACCCAAAAATCCCACTGACCCCAAAATCCTCCATCCCAAAATCCCACTGAACCCCCCAAACCCAGCCATGCCCCAACCCAACTGTCCCAAGGACCCATGGACACCGTCAGCATGGTTGTGTGCACGTGCACCTGTGCCCCAAAAACGGTACCCCAAAATCCCACTGACCTCAAAAACAGGCATCCCCAAATCCCACTGATGCCCAAATCCCATTGTCCCCAAAACGGGGACCCCCCCCAAGTGCCCCCAGGAGACCTCCAGATACCCCTAGGAACCCCCCAAATCCCCCTCCTCACCCTCTCTACTGACTGGGCAGTGCCGAAGGTGGGCCCAAAGGTGAACCAGACAATGTGTGCTCACAGTGATCCCCCAATACTCCCAGGGACCCCCCAAATACCTCCAGAGACCTCCCAGGGACTCCCCAAATACCTCCAGGGACCCCAAACCCCCATCCCACCCTCTCTGCCAACTGGGTGGTGCCAAAAAGATGGGCCTAAAGACAAACCAGACCACATGTGCCCACACTGATCCCCCAAATACCCCCAGAGACCTCCCAGGGACTCCCCCAGGAGCCCCAAACCCCCCTCCTCACCCTCTCTGCCGACTGGGCGGCGCCGAAGAAGATGGGCCCAAAGGCGAGCCACACCACGCAGGTGGTGTACATGGCGAAGCCGATGGGCTTGGCCTCGTTGAAGGTCTCGGGGACGCCGCGCGCTTTGACGGCGTACACGGTGCAGGTGAGCATCAGCAGCAGGGCGTAGGCCAGGCAGGCCAGCGTGGCCCCCTCGGCCATGTCGCAGCGCAGGACCCCCCGCGCCGCCTCGGGGTCGGGGGTCCGGCCCATCTCGTAGTCGATGAGGGCGTGGGGTGGCCGGATCAGCAGCCAGGTGGCCGCGGCCACCAGCTGCAGCCCGCTGAGCGTGAAGGTGATGACCAGCTGCGAGGTGGGGCTGATGAAGCGTGGCGGTGTCACCGAGCGCTTCCCTGCGGGGTACAGCGGGTTACGGGGGGCTGCTGGCACCCCCAGAGCTTGCCTGGCCTGAAGGGGTGGGGGTCAGGGTACCCCACGTCCCTCAGCCTGATCTGAAACCCCAACACTTCTGGAGGCTAAGTCACCTCCCTTGGGGATGGGGCTGGTCTCGGTGAGGAGCACAGCGTGGGGACCCTGTCCCATGCACCTCACCCCAGGCTCCCACCCCCCAGTACCCCTCACCCTGTCTTCCCACCCTGCTGTTCCCCTGTGCCCCTCACCCTGCTCAAAGATGTGGCAATGCGGTTGGTCTTGGTAAGAGCATGGCACAGATGAGACCCCAGCCCCTCACCGCAGTCTCCTGCCCCGCCTGTGCCCTCCCACGCCCCCCAACCCCTCACCCTACTCAAAGATGTAGGTTGGTCTTGGTGAGAGCTTGGCACAGGTGAGACCCCAGCCCCAGCCCATCATTCTGTGCCCCCCAACCCCTCCTGTTTCACCCAGCCCCTCACCCCGTGCCCCCAGCCCCTCACCCTGTGCCCCCCAGCCCCTCACCCTGCTCGAAGATGCGGTAGATGCGGTTGGTCTTGGTCAGCAGCGCGGCGTAGGTCAGGCTCATGCCCATACCCAGGAAGAGTCGCCGCAGGGCGCAGACCCCCACGCCGGGCTCGGCCACCATGAGGAAGGTGATGGCGTAGACCAGGGCGATGCCGGCCAGCAGGACGTAGCTCAGCTCGCGCCCCGACGCTTTGACGATCGGCGTCTCGTGGTGCCGCACGAACGTGGCCAGCACGAAGGCGGTGGCCATGAGCCCCAGCGTGGCCAGGGCCAGCGGGACGGCGGCGCAGGGGTCGCCCCAGCTCAGGCGCAGCACAGGTGTGGGGCGGCAGGCGGTGCGGTTGGGCGTGGGGCGCAGGTGAGGGGCGCAGGGCAGGCAGGTGAGCAGGTCGGCCCGGTACTGGTAGCCCCCACAGAGCTCGCAGTGCCAGCAGCACGGAACCCCCTTCACCGGCTTCTTGCGCTCGCCGGGGCCGCACGGCAGGCTGCACACCGAGGGCGGTGGCGACGACGAGTTGGAGCCCCAGGCCATGGCGTCCTCCTGGTGGGGGGACAGTCAGGGACACCCCCCAGGGACACCTTGAACACCCTATGGACATCCCAACCCTTCACGGACACCTCATGGATCCCCCAAACCCTCCATGGACACCCTAACCAGCCAATGGAAAACTAAAATACCCCCCATGGACACCTCAACCCTTCATGGACACCCCAAATACCCCAGGGGCACCCTGAACACTCTATGGAAAACCCAAACACACCCCATGAACACCCCGACCTCCTCAGGGGCACCCCAAACACTTTCCACAGGCCACCCATGGTCCCCCCAAACCCTCCATGGACACCCCAAACACCCCTGAGGACACCCCAAACCTCCTCATGGACCCTCTAAAACCCTCCATGGACACCCCAAACCTCCTCAGAGACCCCCCAACACCCCCACAGGCACCCCATGATTCCCCCAAGCCCCCCACGGACACCCACCCAGGGGGAACAGAGCATCCCCCACCCAGTGCCCCCAGTTGGCCACGGGGGCTGACCCTGGGGGGCACCCCTGGGCTCTGGGGGGCTCAGCGGTCCCAAACCCACCTGAAGGTGCAGCCCCTGCACCCACTGCCCCACAGCCCGGTAGGCCCCGGTGCCGTTGCCCCCCTGGAACTGGAAGATGTCGTAGCGCCCGGGGGCGTCCCCGTTCTCATTGAAGGACACCGGAGTCCCCGCGCTGCCTGCGTACCAGTTTGGACCAGTATAAACCAGTAACTACCAGTCTAGTCAGGGACACCCCCCGCCACCCTGCAGGAAAGGTCAGTGACCCCCCAGCCCCGGCATGGCCCCGGTACAGGGCAAACCAGTGCTCCCATCCCCTTCCCACTGCCCCACAGTGGCTCCCAGTACATCCCAGTATGGTCTCAAGTGCTGCCATCCTCTTCCCAGTTCACCCCAGTACATCCCAGTGCTTCCCAGTATGGTCTCCAGTGCCCCCATCACCTTCCCAGTGCTTCCCAGTATATCCCAATACCTCCCAGTAATTCCCAGTATGGTCTCCAGTGCCCCCAGCTCCCTCCCAGTGCCACCCCAGTATATCCCAGTGTCTCCCAGTAGTTCCCAGTATGGTCTCCAGCACCTCCAGCTCCCTCCCAGTGCCTCCACCACCTTATCCCAGCAGGTTCCCAGTGCCCCCAGTACCGTTGAAGGCCACCCTGCGGATGTGGGTGAGCAGGCGGCGCCCATCGGGGGGGTCCATGTGGGCACAGAGCCCCCCGCCCGGGCAGGCCTCGCCCAGCATCGAGTGCAGCCCATGGGCCATGGCCAGCACGGCGTCGATGACGAACTGCACCTTCCCCTCCTGCTCGTAGGGCGAGTCCCGCCCGATGCGCTCCCGCCCTGGGGGACCCCAAATGGGCACCCTAAATCCTCCATGGCCACCCCAAACCTGCCACAGCACCCTAAACCTGCCATGGGCACCCCAAACCCACCAGGGACACCCCATCTTCCCCTTCTGCTCTAGGGTGAGTCCTGCCCAATGTGCTTCCACCCTGGGGACCCCAAATAGGCACCCTAAACCTGCCAGGGACACCTTAAACTTACCTGTGGGGTCTCTCTGGGGTCCCTATGGGACCCCTATAGGGCAGGGTCTCTGTGGGGTAACTGCACCTTCCCCTCCTGCTCGTAGGGCGAGTCCCGCCCGATGCGCTCCCGCCCTGGGGGACCCCAAATGGGCACCCTAAATCCTCCATGGCCACCCCAAACCTGCCACAGCACCCTAAACCTGCCATGGGCACCCCAAACCCACCAGGGACACCCCATCTTCCCCTTCTGCTCTAGGGTGAGTCCTGCCCAATGTGCTTCCACCCTGGGGACCCCAAATAGGCACCCTAAACCTGCCAGGGACACCTTAAACTTACCTGTGGGGTCTCTCTGGGGTCCCTATGCGGCCCCTATAGGGCAGGGTCTCTGTGGGGTCCCTATAGGGTCTCTGTGGGAGTCCCTGTGAGGTCTCTGGGGCAGGGTCCCTATGGGGTCCTTATGGGGTCTCTGTGGGGTCCCTATAGGGTCTCTATGGGGGTCCCAGTGTAGTCTCTGGGGCAGAGTCCCTATGGGGTCCCCATAGGGTCTCTATAGGGCAGGGTCCCTGTGGGGCCTCTGTGGGGTCCCTATAGGGTCTCTATGGGGGTTCCAGTGTGGTCTCTGGGGCAGGGTCCCTATGGGATCCCTATAGGACAGGGTCCCTATGGGGTCCCCATGGGGGTCCCTGTGGGGCAGGGTACCTATGGGGTCTCTATGGGGTCCCTGTGGGGTCTCTGGGGCCGGGTCCCTATGGGGTCCCTGTGGGGCAGGGTACCTGTGCACTTGCGCACGGGCGCTCCGGGTGCCCCCGCGGGGTCTCCGTGGGGCGCGGTGCCGTGGGGCAGGCGGCAGTTGAAGTCGTCCTCCCAGAACTCGTGGAACCACAGGTTGCGGCGGTTGTTCTCCAGAGAGCGCGACGTGAAGTACTCGTCAAAGCCTGGGGGGCACGGGGACACCGCGGGGTCAGGGTGGAACCCCACAGGGTCACAGGGGACCCCACAAGGTGATAGGGATCCCAGAGAGTCCTGGAGTGTCCCATGAGCCCCTCAGAGCCGCCCAAAACCCTCAGGTCTCCCCCCAAACACCCTAAGAGCCCCCCTGGAACCGCCAAACCCACTCCAGAGCCCCCCCCCAGGACCCCTCCAGCAATCTCCAGTCTCTCCCAACCCATCCTGGTTTGCTCCAGTCCCTCCCAATAACCTCCCAGTGCTCCCAGTCCCTCCCAGCGCTCACCGGGCACCGAGGCTCGTTTGGGCAGGATGGTGATGGCCCCGTGTGCTGCCTCCTCCAGGCCCTGCACCGGTGCCATCTTGGCCCCCCAGCTGTCCGAGCCCACCCAGGAGAAGTGGCCCGAGAGGTTGGCCAGCGTGGCGGCCTCCAGCACCCGCCTGTGGGGACAGACACAGTTACTGGGCAAACTGGGAAGTACTGGGGGCCACTGGGATGGACTGCGGGCTACTGGGGGACTGGGAAGTAACTGGGAGGAACTAGAACGAGTTGGGTGACTACTGGGATGAACAATGGAGGCTACTGTGATGGACTGAAAGGACTGGGAGGTCACTGGGTTGGACTGAGGAGCTACTGGGAAGGGACCTGACTACACTGGGATGAACTCCAGTGGGCTGAGGAGCACTGGGGAGGGACTGGGGCAGGACTGGTGTGCACTGGGGCGCACTGGTCTGACCGGATGTCGTCCTCGTTGGCGAAGAGCACGACCCCACGTGCGGTCGACGTCTCCATCAGGCGCCCGATGACCTTGGCGAACTCCCCTGGCTTCGGCTCCCGCGGGATCTTGATGGACTGGGCGATGCACAGGCCCCCTGCCCCAGTACAGACCAGTATAAACCAGTACGGACTGATATAGACCAGCGTGGATGCCCTGCCCAGGCCTCACTGGTCACTGGTGGTCACTGATGGGGCAGAACCTCCCACTTCCCCGCAGAGCTGAGCCTCCCAGTACATCCCGGTACGGCCCAGTGGCTCCCAGTATAACCCAGTGCCCTTCCAGTGCTCCCAGTGCCCCAGTACAGCCCAGTACAGCCCACCGGCCTCGCGGGAGCTCTGCACGAAGGCCTCGACGCCGCTCTCGCCGTAGTTGCCCTCGGAGGCCAGCGTGCTGACGTAGCTCCAGCCCAGCGCCCGCACCACGGCCACCATGGCCTGCGCCTGGTACGAGTCCGGCGGCACCACCCGCGAGAAGAACTCGTAACGCCCGGGGTCCGACAGCTCGGGGGCCGTGGAGGCGTAGCTGATCTGGGGGATCTGGGGACATGGGGGACATCGGGGGCATGTCAGCGACAGGAGGATATTGAGGACGTGGGGACGTGTCAGGGACAGGGGGACATTGGGGGGGTTGGGGGCATCGTGGGGCTGTGGGGGGATCAGTGAGGAGCTGTTGATGTAGGAGGGGTCTGGGGGGACAGTGGGGACATTGGGGAGAGTGAGGGGACATGGGAAACAGAGGGGAGGGGCACGGGGGCTTAGCCCTGGGGCTGGGGACAAGGGGGACATTGGGGACATGTGGGGGGAGACCTGGGCGACACCCGGGGGACCTGGCACTGTGGGACCCCCCCTTTCTCTGTCCCTAATCCCCCCTAATCCCCCTGGGCCATTTGCTGCCATCCCAGGGGATTGTGGGTAACACGGGGGGGAGGGGAAGGTTCTGGAAGGGACCTGGAATGGGGAGGGGGAACAGAGGGGGACCAGGTGTCCAGGCCCCCCCTCACAGGGAGCAGACACCATGAGGACACTGTAGGGACAGCGCTGTCCCGTGTCCCCTCAGAGTCTCCCCCAGCCAAAACACCCCCCACATTCCCCCAAACGTCCCCAACACCCCCTCAATGTCCCCAACACCCCCCCAATGCCCCAGACACCCCCAGTGACCACAAAGAGCCGCTGAAACTTGGCCACCATGATGGCAACAGAGCTGGCAGAGGCACCAATATCCCTCCATGTCCCCCATCTCCAATGCCCCTCTACGTCCCCAATGCCCTTTAATGTCCCCAATGTCCCTCCATGTCCCCAGCACCCTCAGATCCCCCCAACCCATCACGAACAGCCGCAGCACATTGGCCACCACGATGGACACAGAGATGGCGGAGACACCAATGTCCCTCCATGTCTCCAATGCCCCTCCATGTCCCCAGTGCCCCTCCACGTCCCCAACACCCCCAAATCCCCCCAACCCACCGCGAACAGCCGCAGCACGTTGGCCACCATGATGGACACGGAGCTGGCGGACGCCCCGATGACCCCGACCAGGCGCTCGGGCGGGGGCCGGCGCGGGGCCGACCCATCGGGGCAGCTGCCCTCGCCCCCCTCGGGGGGCAGCAGGCTGCGCACGAAGCTCAGCGCCTGCTCCAGGGCGTAGGTGTCCCTGGAGCAGGTGTCGAGGATGCGGGCGCCCAGCGTCAGGTTGGGCAGCACGCGCGGGTCGCCGTTGACGCGGTCCAGCGCGTACAGCATGGCCTCCAGCCGGTGGATGCCCTTCTCCTTCTTGACCGGCCCGCAGGGCACCCCGGCGGGGCCGCGGGCGTGCACCGGGAACAGCCCCCCCAGAGTCAGGTCACCCTCCAGACGGATGGCGTGGGGCTGGGTGGGCGCCGGGGGGCAGCGGCACGGCGGGCACAGGGACAGCAGGGCCACCAGCAGGGCCAGCAGGGGGGACACCAGCGGGGTCACCAGCGGGGCGGGCATGGTGGGCTGGGGGCAGAGACAGGGGGGTTAGGGGGTGATGAGGGGCAGAGGTGGCTCCCTGTGGGGAAGGGTGGGTGCCAGGGGGACACAGGGACAGCAGGGTGGGCAGTGGTGGCACGCTGGGGTGGGGGTGGTACCCCATGGGGCAGAGGTGGCTCCCTGTGGGGCAGGGTGGGTGACAGGGGGGTACAGGGACAGCAGGGTCACCAGGGGGGTCAGCAGGGTGGGCAGTGGTGGTGGCACCCCATGGGGCAGGAGTGACTCCCTAGGGGGGGGGTGGGTACTCCAAGGACCAGGGTGGGTCACAGGGACACCAGGGTGGGCAGGAGGGGACAGAGGGGGGCTACATGGGGGGCACCCAGGAGGTGAGGGGTGGCACCCATTGGGGTGGGGGGACACCCTGTGGGGAGTGGGGAGGGGGTAATGACACCCCATGAGGCAGGGACACCCCCGATGTTGGGGGCAGCCTCCCATGGGGCAGGGGGGTTTATCCCCATCTCAGAGGGAGGTTTGGGGCTCCCCAGCACCCCCCAGGTTGGGGTCCCGGTGCCCCCATCCCGCTCACCTGGCCCGTGGGTGCTCCTGTCCCTGTGCAGCCACTGGGGACTGGAGCCGCCCCTGTCCTGGCCCCCCCAAATCCCCCCCAGTTCCTCCCCTCGGGTTCCCTCCAGATGCTGATGGGGAAGGGGGGAGGAGGAGAGAGCCCCCCCTCCCACCCCAGCTTGGCTGAACTCCTGCATCCCCCTGCCCCCTCCCCCAAATAAACCAGATGTTAATTATTGGGGAGGGGTCAGGGGGATTAGGGGTGCACATCCCCAGAGGGTCCCATGGTGGGGCTGAGCCCCTCGGGGGGTTTGGGGGGGCCAGGAGGGCCCTAATCCCCCCCAGCTGTCGGATTAGGGGAGGGGGGGGAATAATCCACTGCTCATCTGCAGCCAGGACCCCCCCAGCACCAGATGAGGGAGGGGGGACACGGGGGGGGGCTGAGGGGGACCTTGGAGGGGCTCTGGGGACCTGAGAGGGAACTCTGGGAACATTTGGGGGGCTCAGGGGGCCATGGAGACGCACGGGGCGCGGGGAGGTCTGTGGGCAACATGGAGGGGGGTGACCCAGGAGAACTTTGAGGGGTCCTAAAGGGAAAAGGAGGGGACACTGGGCGGGTCAGTGGGTCCGGGGAGGGGTCAGTGGGTGTCGGGGGGTCCCGGGGAGGTTGTGGGGAGACATTGGGGGGGGGGTTCGAGGGGCCCCAGAGCGGGCGGGGCCTTTCCCGCCAAAACTCCGCCTCAGCCGTTCCCGCCCAAACCGCGGCGCGCGCTTCCCGCCGCCGCAAGGCCACGCCCCCACATTGATCAACGCCCCCTAGGCGTAACCACGCCCCCTCACTGTGTAACCACGCCTCATCACGTAAATCCCGCCCCCTAAAGCTAGGCCACGCTCCTCCGCGCTTTACGGCTTTTTCGCGACTCCCCGCCTCCTGCTAGCGGTGCTTTACGGTTGTGTTAGTGTTTTACGACCGCGGCCGGCCGCGTTGTGCGGGTGCGGGGCCGGGGGGCGATTTTGGGGATCCCCGGGGGAATTCGGGGGTGCGGCAGAGCCTGGAAAGGGGGGGAGGGGCGTGGGGGTGATCGCCTCCCTTTAACTCCCTCCTGCCCATCGCAGGGGCCATGGCTGGCACCGAGCGGGACCCGCACGGGAGGGGCGAGGAGGAGGAAGAAGAGGAGGAAGAGGAAGAAAAGGAAGGGGAAGAAGAGGAAGAAAAGAAAGAGGAAGAAGAGGAAGAAAAGGAGGAGGAAGAGGAGGGTCCCGAGGGCTCCCCCGCTGCCGAAGCCCCCTCGGACCCCCCCCCGAAGCCGGTGGTACCGGGGGTCCTTTACTTGTCCTTCCTCCCGCCGGGCTTCGGGCCCCGCCAGGCCCGGGCGCTGCTGCGGCCGCACGGGGAGCTGGGCAGGGTCTTCCTGCAGCCCCGCGGTGAGTCCGGGGGTCCCGGGGCGGGGGGCTGGGGGGGTCAGGGACCCCAGCAATGGGGGAAGGGCGTGGGGGTCCCCTGGAGGTGCAGAATTTGGGGGTCAGGTCCCTCCCAGCCCAGCTGGCACCCACGGAGGGGGGTTCAGCACCCTTGGGTGGGGGGGTCTCAGCCCCGTTTCTGAGCGCCCCCTCCCCGTTCCCGCAGGAGGCTCCGTGCGGCGGCGGCGGCAGCGCCCCGGGGGGCCCCCGGCCGTGGCGTTCGCCGAGGGCTGGGTGGAATTCCGGGACAAACGAGCGGCCAAACGCGCGGCCAAAATCCTGCACGGGGCCCCCATGGCCCCCCGGCCCCGCAGCCCCTTCCGCCATCACTGCTGGAGCATCAAGGTGGGGCTCGGGGGGTCCTGGGGAGGGGGCTCGGGGGGTCCTGGGTGGTCCAGAACTGTTTTACGGGGGGCTTGGATCCCTTTTTTGGGGGGGGTCTCAGACGTTTGGGTGCCCTGGGGGAGGAAGGGGGTGGCACTTGTAGGTTCCTGGGTCATTGGGACCCTTTATGAGTGAGGGGCTGGGTCTCTTTTGGGGGTCCCAGATTTGTTGGGAGCACCTGGGTCCTTTTTTGGGGGGGGTCTCGGATGGTTTTGACCCACTGGGGGTTCCTGTTTTAGGGTTCAAGGGGGTCCCCGACACTGGGGGTGGGGCTGTGTTGGGGGACCCCTCCCACACACCTGGCCCGGCAGCTGAGGGGGGTTTTGAGCACCCCAAAACCTTACTGGGGAGGGCGGTCTGAGGTTATTTGGGGGGTCCCCTGACCTGTGCCCACCCCCCCAGTACCTGCCCGGGTTCCGGTGGCCTCACCTGAGCGAGCGGCTCAGCTACGAGCGCCAGGTGCGGGCGCAGCGCCTGCGGGCCGAGGTGGCCCAGGCCAAGCGGGAGGGGGGGTTCTACGCCCGCCAAGCCTCCAAAGACCCCCCCAAAACCTCCAGGGACCCCGCGGCCCCTGCCCCGACCTGGGGCTTCACCCAAAGACCGACCGAGGAGGAGATTTGGCGGCGCAAAGCTCGGCCCCCCCCGGCCGCGCCCCCCCTGAGCCTGCTGGAGAAGGTGTTTGGGACGGGGAGGTGAGACCCTCCCTCAAATTTGGGGGGGCTCAGGTGTCTGGGAGGGGCCCTTGGCACGCCAGGGTCTCCTCCAGACCTCGATGCCTTTCTCAAAGATCACAGAATGTTTTATTTTTCTCCTTAAAACTTTTATTACTTTTAACAAAAATAATTCCTCGCGGTCTCTTTAAATTCTGCCAAGGGGGCGGGGCCAAGGGGAGGGGGCGGGGTTATGGCTTCGGCGCGAAACTCCCTGAAGGCAGCGCGGGGGGCGGGGAGTGGGAGTGGCTTAAGCAGCTCAGGCCACGCCCCTTTACCATAAAAGGACGTGGGCTAAGAAAGCAACAGCAGGTGAAAGGTGCGTGTGGGCGGGGCCTGTTCTGAGGGGCGGGACAGGAGAAAGCCACGCCCCTCCCCGCACATTAAACAGGTAATTTAAATCTCTACAAAGGGGAGGGCAGGGCTCTTAAAGGGGCCGCGCCCCCGTTTCGGGGGGGCAGTTCCAGTGTCAAAAATAGAAGCTCTGGGGGGTGGGGGAGGGGCCCCAGTATGGCACTGGGGAAATGGGAGAACGAACAAACTCGGGGCCTCATAAACCTGATGTCCCCATAAACCTGGGGGGTGGGGGGCAAACCCCCCAAAAATGGGTGCTGAGGGCACCCCAATATCCCTGGGAAACCGAACGGGGGGAGTGGTACCAAACTGGGGACTCCCCCCCTCAAAATGCCACTACTGGGGTCCCTCAGCCTTGCTGTGTCACTGGGGGAGGGGTAACCTGACACTGTGGGGGGGGCAGGGGTCCCCAAAATCGGGGTGTCACCCTGGGGTCCCCCTGAATCCCCACAGCGGGGTCCTGGAGCCCCCCAAACCTGGGAGGCACCCCAGAATCTCTCAGTGACTCTCTGGGGGTCCAGGGGGTCCTGGGGACCCCCCAGTGCCCCTCCCCCACTACACCCAAGGCTCCATCCCCAAATCCCACTCCCCAAAGGTGCAACACCCCATCCCTCCTCCCCACCCCCACATCCCCCGATTTTAGTTCCCCCCCCTCACTTTTAGGTCCCTCATTTTCCTCTCCCCCTCCCAATTTTATTCCCCCCCCATTTCCTCCACCCCAATTCCAGTTCAACCATCACTTCCCAAATTTTGCTTCCTTTCCCATTTGCCTTCCCCATCCCATC